GACAATGGTGGGGAGAGGGACTGGGGAGGAGGAAGGGACGGGGTGGAACAGGTCATTGGGGAGAAAAAGGGACGTCTGTAATATTTTAAACAATAATAAAATTTAAAAAAAAAAAGCTTATACCCTTTAGCTATCAATCCTTTATTCCCCTATTATTTCCTCAGCCCCAGGCAACCACTATTCTATTTCTGTCTCTGGATTTGCCTGTTCTGGACATTTTATACAAATGGAATCATGCAATATGTTGTCTTTTCCAACTAGTTTCCTTCACTCAGCATGTTTTCCAAGCTCATTTATATTATAACATGTATTAGTCTTCATTCTTTTTTATGTTTAATGATATTCCACTGTATAAAAATCCATTCATCAATTGATGGGCATTTGGGTTGTTTCCACCTTTGGGCTACTATGAATAATACTGCTATGACTATTCATGTGCAAGTTTCTGTGGAGACATAAGTTTTCATTTCTCTTGAGTATATAGCTAGGAGTAGAATTGCTCGAATTGTAAATTTGTGTTTAACTTCTTGAGAAATTGCTAGATGGTTTTCCACAGTAGCTACATCATTTTACTCACACCAGCAATGGACGAGGGTTTCAATTTCTCCACATTCTTCACAACACTTGTCTGTTTTTTTATTATTTCCATCCACATTCATGTAAAGTAGATTTTATTTTTCATCTCCCTGATGACTAATGATGTTGAGCATCTTATGTGCTCATCGGCCATTTGTGCATCTTCTTCAGAGACATATCTATCCATAATTTTTGTCTGTCTTTTACTTAGATTATTTTTTATTATTAAGCTGTTCTTCATAGATTCTAGATTTAAATCTCTTACTAAATATATGATTTTAAAATATTTTCTCTTTTTTGATAATGTCCTCTGAAGCACAAACGTTTTTAATTTTGATGACATCTAGATTATCTATTTTTTCTTCTGTTGCTTGTGCGTTTTTAGTCTCATTACCTTAGAAGCCATTGCCAAATTTAAGGTCACAAAAATTCACCCCATGTCTTTTTCTAAAATTTGAGCTCTTACATTAAGGTATTTGACCCACTTTGAATTAATTTTTGTGCATGGTGTGAAGTAGAGGTCCAACTTCATACACATGGATATCCAGTAGTTGTCCCAGAACCATTTGTTTAAAAGATTAGTCTTTCTCTTCGTTGAACTGTTTTGGGATCATTGTCAAAATCAGCTGACAGTAAATGTAAGTGTGCATTTCTGGATTCTCACTTCTGTTCCATTGATCTGTATGTCTGTCCTTATGCCAAGACCACACAGTCTTGACTACTCTAAGTTTTGAAATCAGGAAGTATGAGTTTTCCAACTTTGTTGTTCTTTTTCAAGATGATTTTGGCTCTTGTGGGTTCCTTAAATTTCCATATGAATTTTAGGATCAATTTGTCAGTTTCTCAAAAAAAAAAAAAATCCCAATTGAAAGGATTGTGTTGAATCTATAGAAGAATTTAGGAAGCACTGCAATCTTTACAACATTAAGTTTTTTTATTTGTGAACATGGAATATTTTCCCAGTTATTCAGATCTTCAATTTTTTTTCAAAAATGTTTTATAAGTTTCGCCCAGCCGGGCATGGCTCAGTGGTTGAGCATCGACCTAGGATCCAGACGATCAGGGTTTGATTCCTGGTCAGGGCATATGCCCGAGTTGTGAGCTCGATCAATGACTCTCTCATCACTGATGTTTCTGTCTCTCTCTCTCCCTCTCCTTTCCTCTCTCTGAAGTCAATAAAGATATATTTTTTAAAAAAGTGTTTTAGAAGTTTCAATGTAGATATACTGTACTTTAAAAAAATTATAAATTGCCCGGCCTGGCGTGGCTCTGTGGTTGAGTGTTGACCTAGGATCCAGGCGATCGGGGTTCCATTCCTGGTCAGGGCACATGCCCGGGTTGTGGGCTTGATCAATGACACTCTCATCATTGATGTTTCTATCTCTCTCTCCCCCTTTCCTTTCCTCTCTCTAAAATCAATAAAGATATATTTTTTAAAAATTATAAATTTATTCCTAAATATTTTTTCTTTTTGAAATGGAATTGTTTTTCTTAATTTCCTTTTCAGTTTGCTCATTGCTACTATATAGAGATACAATTAGTTTTTGTATATTGATCTTGTATCCTGCAACCTTGCTGAACTTGTTAGTTCCAATGGTTGTTCAATGTGAATCCCTTAGATTTTTCTACATATAAGAGCATGTCAGATAAGAAAAGAGATCATTTTATTTCTCCCTTTCCAATGCCTTTTATCTCATTTTCTTGACTAATAGCCCTGGCTCAAACTCACAGTACAGTGTTGAACAGAAGGGGAAACATCCTTATCTTGTTCCTGATCTTATAGGGAAATCATCCAGTCTTTCCTCATTAAGTATGATGTTAACTGTGGGTTTTTCATACATGTCAGTTCTATTTTGTTTTGGTTTTTGGGGGTAGTGGATTTTTGTCCCACCTTGATTTAATGAAATGCTTCTCATCTTTTACGTTTTAGCTAAAATGTCACTTCCTTAGGGACATCTTCCCTGCACCTCCAAACGAGGCTCATAGCACCCTGTGCTTATCACAATTAGAACAACGACCTGTCAGCATCAGCCTCCCTCCTAACGTGGCCCCACCTTGTTCACAGTTGTATGCCCAACGCAGATCGGTGCTCATAATTGTTGCTATAAACTTGCCTCACATATGAGGCTCTCTATTCCTGAGCTTGGCAAGGATACTGTTCTAAAAGTTCCATTTCTGCCTCTGTCTCCACCTCAAGGACAGGACCCTGCTTTATTCATCTTAAACCCAGCACGTAACACAGAGTCTGGCACAGGGACCTTTAGTAACCTCTGTGAATCATTTTGAGGGCTACTCAAAAAGGAATTCACAAAGGTTATATATAATTTTGCCCAAGAACAACAAAAAAGTAAACTGTACCTTCCACAGGGCCAATTTGATTGCTTACAGCAAATCTAAGCACTCTTTCTTCATCACTGTACAAGGCAAAGACCCGGTCCACGGTCAGCTGCCGGGTGGCGGGGGCGCCCAGGGTCCTGGGGGCGTGCCTGCACGCCTGGTAGGTGATGTTCTGGTGGATGCGGTAGGACAATGTCCGGTTGGTGGCACCAAAGGTGAGAGAGTAGTCTCTGGAACTTGTGGAGGTCACAGCTGCAAAAGACACATGCAAACTGGTAAATCTGAAAAATATTGAATACAGAGATTTTCACATAAAGTGTGTTTTTCTGCACACAGTTTTTTATCTAATTCCTGGAACATGTTCCCTTGGGCAGTTCCTGGGTTTACGTGGGAAACCTGCAAGGCAATCTCAAGAACCTGCGCTGACACACAGCCAAAGAGCCGAGCGGGAGGAGGTCCAGTCATTGCTTGTCATTAGGTGAAGAACAGCCACGTGCCAGCCACCCCGAGGCTCTGCGTGCGCCGCCTCGTTAACTCCTGTGACCGTGCGCACGGAGCCTGGCCGAGGCTGGGACGTGGTCAGAGACGCCAGGCTGGGACGTGGGAGAGCTGGAAATGGGACGCAAGTCGGCCTGGCTCCACACCCCGAGGTTTCGGCCAGGCTGTCCTCTACATCGCACAGGCGATGGCTTCCAACACCCTGCACCCGAGCAAGTCTGAAGGGCCCCAGGGAGAGGAAGGGCGCCTTTCTCTCCATCTGAGTCCGGAGCCAGGAGCGCAGGCCAGTCTCTGGCCGCCCACTACTCCGTGTACGGTCGGGGTCTCAGCTGCCATTCCCTTCCCTGCATCTCTTGCCGGCTTCCAGGCCTCATCCAGCAAGAGAAGCAAGGGCCACGGGGAGGCACAGCCCGAGCAGACTGCTGCGTGGCCGGACGACAGCTGGACTGACAGCACCCTGCACTCGGGCGGTGTTCCACAAAAACCCTCGCTTTACACACCCCGGCCACGTGAGGCAGATAGAAAAGGATTGTTCTTCTCATTCTAAAGGTGAGACAACAGGCTCTCAGATGAGCGGCCCTTCCCCCACCTATTTTAAGTGGCAAATCCAGGATATGATTTTTTATCTTCTGACTCCAAACCTAGCGTTAATTTTACAACACTGTGTGGCATCTCTCTCTGTGATTTTAAAGCTGGCTGAAATAAGGGTATAAGATGAGAATAAATTCCAATAATCATTATTTTGACATGGCCCAGGGAGAAAAAATGGTTAAAAGCTATATATAATTATAGCATCCCTACCCGCCCCCAAAGACAAGGTTGTTATTGATTACATTATTATTATTATTATTATTTGAAACTAGTGGGTAGGAACATTAAGATTCTTGTGTATAGCAGCTGACACTCTGGTCACTTATACTATAAATTTAATATTAACAACAAAAATGATAAAAACGATATCGAGATTATTTTATGTGCCACACACTATCTAAGGACATTCCATGTAGTAACACTTAATCCTCATAACTATCTTGGGAGATATGTACTATTCCCATTTTATAGATGTGAACACTGGTTACACATACCTGAGTCCGAGTAGTGGTAAAGCTCCTTGTAGGGAGCCACATGGGCTGTGAAACCCGCTGGGATGTAAGGCACCTGGCCTTGAATGTTGGTCTTAGTGACCAGATAGTCCTCTGGGTCAAGTCCCTCAGCAGCTTGAGTGATTCGAACCCTCTCCTTTCCTGGATAGAAAGTAACTTCCATGTCATGGATAAATGTAGCACCTGGAGGGGGTGAAAAAAATCAGTACAGGGATGAAAAGAGGTCTTGCATAATCTAGTAATAATTACCATCGCATATGTCCACCTCCCAGTTTCTACTGCGATGAAGTCGGTGCCTAAGGAGATCATGTGGTACCCAAGACTAAGTGCTACCAGCTATTGGTTACATTAGTTTCTCAAATTTTCTCACTAGGAGTGTGGTTTTCTTCTGCCACATCTCACACCACTTCTCTTTGTAGGAGCTTGTTTTCAGTGAGAAATGAACTCCTGGGAATATCACTGACCTTTCTCTTTCCAAGGGTGCCAGACTTAGCAAAAACAAGATACCCTATTATACTTCAATTTCAGATAAACAATGAATGTGTTTTTAGTAGAAGCAAGTACCATACAGTATTTGGGGCATGTCTATACTAAATTATTTGAATTATTCATTGTTATCTGAAATTCAAATGTAACTGGGTATACTGTATTTTATTTATCTACCTTTGGCTTAAGACTTTATTTAAACCTTGATTAAGAGCAAGATCCTCTAACAGCTGTTGAGCTCTACAGCTAGAGGTGGGGGAAGAACTTTTCTCCCAGCACTTTATGTGCAATAAAGGTAAATCTACCAGAAAACAAGCCAAAAAGTATCCCCTACACTCTTTTTTTTTTTTTTAATGTTTTTCAGAGAGAGGAAGGAAGAGGGAGAGAGAGAGAAACATCAATGATGAGAGAGTCATTGATTGGCTGCCTCTCATACACCCCTTACTGGGGATCGAGCCCACAACCTGGACATGTGTCCTGACCGGGAATCGAACTATGATTGCCTGGTCCATGGGTTGATGCCCAATCACTGGGCCAACAACACCGGCTGCGCTTCCCCCTACACTCTTGCTGTTGAAGGGTGGTCCTTACACCAGCATGAGCATCTCCCGGAAGCTTTTTAGGAAAAGAGAATCACAGACCCCACCCTGGGCCTGCTGAATGAGAATCTGCATTTTCACAAGGACCCCATGTGATCCGTGGGCTGGATAAAGTCTGAGAAGCACTGGTCTATATTCACAGGTCAGAGTGGTGGGGTGGGAGAAGAGGAAAGGCACGCCCTTCCCCATGACGTACAATCATCTCCAGGTGCCCTATTGTTACCATTTGTGCATCCCCACTGGACAGATCTGTGCATAACAATTCAATTAAACAAAGTCTGACAAACAAGCTTTCAATAAATCGAGGTGAGAAGACACAAATACTCCAAATGGAATCATTCTATTTGTCAGGATAACCTGGAGGAAGCCATAGTGGACCAGGGTAGCTCAATGCTCCAGCAGTTTCTTCCATTGCCCACTTACTCTGCCCATTAATGCAAGAGGGCCATTTGTGCCACTAAAGAACAAAGGAATCAGAGCAGATGCCATTCAGAAGAAATCCCTGTCTTTCAGAAACAGTCCTGCGAGGCCAAATCATCCTCAACTACCTCCAGACAGAAAACTACAGACCTGTGGCTCTGTGATACTGAAGGAGCTAATCCTCTCCCACTGAATGAAAGTCCAAGGAGCAATGCCACCAAAGCAGTGGTGGCCACTGGCCCCTCAGAGGCCCCACTCACCTGTGAGGCTGAAGCCGTTTTCCCAGCCCGGTTTCTCTAAAGCGAAGAGCCAGCCAAACAGGCCTCCGATGGGTGTGAGGGGGAGAAGGGCCTGGGCCGCGGGCTGTGGGATGTGACTGATGGCCGTGTAGGCTCTGCCATCATTGCTCACGATGTACGCATGCAGGTCCGCGTCATTGAAGGTCACGGGCGTGTGGTCCACGAGGAGGTGGCCGCTCACTTTCCCATTAACTCGATGAGGTTCCCCTGAAAAACAGCAAATTCAGCCAACCTTGACCATTGTCCAGGCTGGAGATGGGTCCCCAGAAAAAACAATTCCACTGCAACCCCCAAAACTCAATCTTTAGCTGTTTTCATCATTCCCTAGCCAACCGATTATCCACCTAAGTACAAAATACACCTGTCTTTGATCTCTTTTCTCCCATTCTCCTTCTCTCCCATCCATTTTGGCTCTAATGGGCTGGCAAAAAGGAGGACACATTTCTGGTTAATCCTCAAGCTGGGAAATCAGCCCAAACGTGTTCATTTCTCATTCACTGAGCATCTGCAAGTTGCTAGGGCTTCGATTCAAGTAGCAGAGACACAAGGTCTACAGGCAGAGCTCCGGGGGCAGCTAGAAACAAGCGAGCAGGCGCGGAGCAGCCCCAGCCGTCGAGCCAGCGCCTCACCTGCCGGCAGGCAGTGCTTGCCATTCCCGTTAAACCTGGACTGGCAGTGGCAGCAGAAGCCGGTGGCGTAGTCGGTGCAGAAGGCGTTCCGGGAGCACTGTCCGTGGTTGTGTTCGCAGGTCTCCTTGATGGAAGACCTATAGGTGAAGACTGGAAAACAGAAGAAACTTGCTTTAAAGGACTAGGCGATTCCAGCATCGTAATGCTGCCGGCTTCATCGCGGGCACCGCATCTGCTCCATAACATCAGCCTAGAGTGTAATGAACACATGGGTGTTTGATGTTTAAGAGACGGGAGTGACATTCAACCCAGGGGAATCAGCTTGCTTGGTCTTCTGGCAAGAACGGCTGCTGGCGGCTCCCACCCGGTCCCATGGCCAGGCTGGTGAACCAGGATGAGCCTTGAGTGCAGTGACAGACAGCCAACCAGTGAGAACGTGTTAGGCTGATCTGGACAAAACGGCCATCTTCTGGGTCAGAAATGGCCAAAGATCAGCAATTTTGGTTCAACCTGATAGCAATGACCCCCTGAGAGGAAGATAAAAGAGAGAAACAAATGTCAATTTCTGTCCAACCATTCATTCTTCACTTCTTTTAGGTGGCTCTGAAGTTAAAGAGGCCCACTTTTATGAAACAAAGGAATTGGAGCAGACACCATGGATCATAAAGGAAATGGCCAAGTGGGTGGGATGTGGCTGGGGGCGGGTGCTGATGAACAAGAGAGGGCTTTCTCCTAGACACTGGGACAATGCCAGTCCTAAGCATAGCCACCAGGAGGCAAAGGGGCTGTGCACACCTCTGCTCCCGTATCCCCAGGAGCTGGAGCTGGGTGCAGGCTCTAGAGCACGCCAACAGGGATGGCACAGAACTCTAGTGCTAGACTCTGATGCTGCTGTGAGGAGCCAGTTCCCGAGAAAGATGGACACCCTATCTTAGGAAAAACCAGTTGACAGTTGTGTCCCAGGTCTAGGTCTGGAAAGAAGGAAATGAGAAGGGAAGGAAGATCATGAAAAAACAATATTTACCCAGTATTCCAGCAGAGAAGAGAAACAAAGAAACCAATGGAGGGAAGATGGAGCACCACAGAAGTCACAATATAGCCCCATGAAGACTTGTATCAGCAAGGAAGAAGCAAGTTAACACTGACCTAGTGCTCAGTGTTACCAGATACTAGCCTGTGAACTTGAACTATTAATTTCCACAGAGCAGGGGATGATTTTGATGCCTGTTTCGTAAATGAATGGGCTGAGGCACAGATTAAAGTGGCTTTCTTGAAGTCACATGGGCAGGAAGTGGCGGAGTTGGGGTTTGAACCCAGGGAGTCTGGCTCAGGTTCTTCACAGCTGCCCTCTATTACCCCTCCAGGGGAGCCCAGGTCCATTCATCCTGAGAGCTGGGTTAAGGATCGGATCAGGTATCTGGGGTTAGTCAGCAGAGGCTTCAGCAGGGAAGGTTTGAGTCATATTTTATACATCAGGCCTAACAGTAGAAGACAGCAGAGATTACCCAGATGGATATTAAATTACAGCACGCTGGGGAAAACGCAGGTAAGAAGCGAGAGTGGCCATAGTAGCATTAACTTTTGTTAATGCTCGAGTGCTGCTTACAGATTCTTGAGAAAGCAGCAACCTGAGGGGGTGGCAGAAGGGATCATCTTGACTCAATGGAATATCTGACTGGTAATATAGTGAGGATGAAGCTGGTGACTCAAGATTTGGTACAGGGCCTTGATGACATAGCTGAGAAATTCCAGCTTGATAAAAATAAAAAATGAGGCATAATAACCCTGAACAGTTTTTTTAAAGAGAAAAGTGACAAAAACTCAAGACAGAATGGATCATGATAAAAATTACTATAAGAGGTTCCTGTGAGGGAAGCTATGTATCACTGTCTACCTTCGGTTTAAAAAAGGGGAGAAAAATCCAGTTTAAATAAAAAGAAATGAATATAACTTGGGTGCATCAAAGTCTCAGTTTTCTCCAGCTCAAAGTCACAACTAAGTGCAAAGAAGTGGCACGTGGAGGGACTAGAACACTTGTGTGCTCACAACCCCGTTGCCATCAGGACTCTCCCTCTAGAACACAAGGGAAGGGGGAAGGGGCTAGGG